TTAATGAGAACTCACTATTGAACTTAATGAATCTAGAGAGCTAGTTGACTGGAATCAAGATTTATATTTTTTAAGTTTTGCATGACGGAAAAAGTGGACTAGTATCTCTTGTGCTTTGGTGAGAATTTTCTAGACTAAGTTGTGGATTGATGCACTATCTTTGGTCCTAGTTTAGAGTTCATGTCTATGAGATTTGTGCATTTCCTATTTTTGTTTTCACTTAACCAGTTTAGGCTTTTGCTTTGTTTGAGGACAAACAAAGGTTTAAGTCTGGAGGAGTTGATAACACCGTATTTTGACCACTTTTATGGATCTTTTTGAAATACTTTTTCTATGTTTTTAATTGCTTTTAAGTAATTTTATTACGTTTTTCAAGTATTTGTAGTTCCAAGACTCTTTTCAGATAACTTAGGGAAAAGCTTAACAAAATGGATAGAAAACCAGATTTCAGCTAAGAGTCAAACCGTCAGAAGTTCACCCCTGATTGAAGGCCTTCTCACCGTTTGATCCAGCTCAAATTTGGAGACCTTAAAGATGGAAGTATCAGCTTTCCAGTGCACTTTACAGCTTGACAATCCAATGGTTCAATCAAAAGATACGCGAAGAGCAAGATGTTCCGTAAACCAGCTGGCCAGCACTTCCACCCGCGGCCAACAAGCATTTTCCCGCGGTCAGGAGCATCCCGACCGCGGCAAACCACCCATTCCCCGCGGTCAGAGCACTCCCGACCGCGGTCATCAACCTCCAAGCCCAAAAGCCCATTTCTGAAGCCCACAATGATTTCTTCATTTGGAGAAACCCTAAGTGACGTCCAGAGAGGTCTTGAGCACTATAAATATATGTCTTAGGAACCCTAATCGAAATAGGCTATCTTTCTTATTGTTTTAGAATACTTGTTTTGTTTTAGATTTTAGGGAGAGAGAGATTTGTTCTCTTGAACCCTTGTTCTTTCTTTTTCAATTTCGGTTTCTATTCTACTTCTTAATACTATGTCTTTGATTTCGTTCATTATGCCTGAGTAGTTTTGTTGTTGGGATTAAGGGATTTTCGATGGGGATTTATATGTTCGATGAGGATTCCATGAGCTTTTGACCCGAATATTAGAACTTTTTCTTCTGAATTCGTTTTTACTGCATGAGAGTAGCGTCATGAACTACAATCTAATCCAGATGCTTGGTGACACGAAAGTGTTCATCAGGTATCAGATCTAGTTTGGGAGAGCAAAACAAACATAGGAGTGGAAACCTACCTATAGGCGATTTGTGAATTAGGACGAGTCTTAAACATAATGCATCTTTTCTCTTTCAGGGCCAGAGTGGAAACCTACTGGTCAGGGTTGAGAGAGATAGTTGTCTATGACACGACAATGGCGTAGTCATAGGTCCGTGACTCCAGTTCGAAAAGTTTAAGCTAAGATCTTATCAAATTTACTCTCTAGCAATGTTTTGAATCGTTCGTACCCCTGAGAAAACTTCCTTGAAGCCCAACGCTTTCTTCCTTATTGATTTACACCGATTTTCTTTCAGCCTTAGTTCAATATTGTCTTTCCTTTTTAGTTCATTTTCATTTAAGCATTTAGAATATCCGTTTTCGCATTTTTAGTTATTTTCATTAAGTTTAGTTATTACGTCATTTAATTTCCGTATTCTCTTTTAAGATTTCGTTTTTAGATTTTAAACACACTACCAAACCCCCACAAAACCTTTTTGGTTCTAGACTTCCTTATTTTATACTTATTTCAAAGGCTTTTTGCAGAAAAAGATCATCCTTCCCTGTGGATTCGATCCCTAAGTACTACAATCGATCAGCTGTGCACTTGCGGCTATTGATTTCAATTAGGGTAAAACTTGACAACCCTCGACACCTCACTCAACACCACATCAAGAACCTTTTGCGATGCACAGCTCGTAGCATGTCTATTCAACGGATAATATGAGGCGAAGGACGGACGAATGGGAGCTTACCTCAAGGTGGTCCGAGAGTTGGTGCAAAAGTTCGACGAGTTCGAGCTCACACGAATACCCTGAGGTGAAAACACCTCGGCCGACGCCTTGGCAGCACTTGCTTCGACTTCAGACCCGGATCTCCGACGGACAATTCCAGTCGAATTCATTGAACGTCCTAGCATCGAAGAGGTAGAAGGAGTTCGGCTGATAAATCCTCCTGAGCGGGAACCAGAAAACGACGAAGCAGTCGTTATGGATGAAGACGCCTCACCAACCGAGCTGGAGTACGGCTGCGACAAAGAATGGCTCAGAGACATCCGAGTGTATATCGCCGATGGAGAAGTACCAACCGACAAGTGGGAAGTTCGCAAATTAAAAGCTCAGGCCGCGCGGTATGTCCTCGTCGACGGTGAGGTGTTTAAATGGAGATTTTCATGACCGCTCATGACATGCGTCGAAGGACCGGAGGCAAGAAAGATCATTCACGAAGTGCACAGCGGCGCGTGCGGAAACCATTCTAGCGGAAGGTCGCTCGCGATCAAGATAAAATGGCACGGTTACTTCTGACCTACGATGGTCAAGGACTGCGAGAAGTTTACGGCGAAGTGTGAGAAGTGTCAACGGCACGCGCCAACCATTCACCAACCTACCGAGCTGCTATCATCGATATCGTCTCCTTATCCTTTCATGAGATGGTCGATGGACATAGTCGGACCTCTACATCGGTCGAAGCAGAAGCGCTTTCTGCTCGTCCTCACGAATTATTTTTCTAAGTGGGTCGAGGCCGATTCCTACGCGAGCATAAAAGATGTCCAAGTCGAACACTTTGTCTGGAAAAATATCATCTGCAGACACGGGGTCCCCTACAAGATAGTCACCGATAACGGATCCCAGTTCATCTCGACGCGTTTTGAAGCTTTCTTCGAGAAATGGAAAATCCGTTTGAGCAAATCTACGCCAAGATATCCTCAAGGGAACGGACAAGCAGAAGCAGCCAACAAGACGATCCTAGACGGTCTGAAAAAGAGGCTCGACGCCAAAAAAGGAGGATGGGCAAACGAGTTCGAAGGAGTCCTTTGGTCGCATCGGACGACTCCGTGCCGAGCCACCGGAGAAACCCCATTCGCTCTAGTCTATGGAACGGAATGTGTGATTCCCCCCGAGGTGGATTTCCCAGGTATTCGACGAAGACTTCTGCCGGTAGAAAAGGGTTTGAATCACTTAATGATGTTGGACGAACTCGATTTGGTCAACGAAATGCGAACAGGCTCTAATCCAAATTCAGAACTACCAACAAGCAATGGCGAGATACTACAACAAAAATGTTTGTAGTCGAAAGATTCAAAGAAGGAGAGCTCGTCCTTCGAAAGGTTTTCCAAAACACTGCCGAGAAGAATGCAGGAAAGCTCGGAGCAAATTGGGAAGGTCCTTACAAGATTACAAAAGTAGTTCGCCCAGGAGTCTACGAACTTGCGACGGTAGCTGACGAAGCAATTCCATGGTCATGGAATGAAATGCACCTGAAGAAGTATTATCACTAAGGCTACAACACGGTTAACATGAACTACGGGACGGCTTGATCCCTGCAAATGGTACGTAGGCAGCCCGTCCTCGGACGGGTTCAGCTGTCCCCCATCCTAAAAAGGGGGGGGGGGGGAGTGGGTACGTATACACATACCTCCATTTGACTCTATAATTTTAGCTCGTCTACCGTCTCTAGGAACATTGCCACTTCGGCCAATTTTCTGTTCGTTTTAAATCAGCTACTTATTTCATGTTCACCTCGGAATTTTAATTCGTTCATTGTCGCTTCGGCTAGTTTCTCATTCTTTTTAAATCAACAACTTATTTCATTCATCACTTCGAAAAGTTATCATCACTTGATAGCCTCAGACCTTTACGCGTCCTTATATTCTCTTTGGCAAATTAAATCTCCAAACGCCTCGTCTCGTTGCTGGCCACAACGGGACAACAAATACAAAGTTCTCTAAACGGACTTTTACCACCTTTCCTAGGACGAGGGTGCAAGTTACATCCTCTATGGATAAAAATTAAGCGCGCTATACAAATTACATCCAAAAACGTATCGGTCGCCACAATTCACTATCATACACAAGATTATAAGTCGAGACTACATCACTTTCTCTAAAACCGAAGTAAACTCTTAAAACCCGGCAAAACACACTCACCCTCTCGGGAACGCCGGTCTATAGACATATCCCAAAGAGAACACTATATCCTCTTGAACTTTCGCCTCGTCAATGAGAAATAGGCTCAAGCTAAACACTTTAGCTGCAACGCCCGACTCTTCCTCACGAACGATTAACCTCTCAAAGAGAATAATAACTTACTTGAAAACACATAACTTACTAGAAAAATACTTCGGCGCTAGTTGGAGACTCTTTCTCAGATCTCAATGAAAGTCCCGAAATCATCTTTGATCAATAAAGAACAAAACGCCTCGTCGTTATACATGGCTCGGCATCATTAATGAAAATGCCTCGTCGTTAAACACGGCTCGACATTGCCAATAAAAGTTGCCTCGACATTATTGCTAAACACGGCTCAACGTCACCTAAAATGGAGACACTCCACGAATCAACTCCTAGCTTGGGATTTAGACTTAAACAGAATCCTTAGCAGCTTATCCCTTAGCCCGGTATTCTATCGATCTCACGTAAACATTTCGGCCAGGAAAGCAGTCGAGATCATTCTCAACACAGCTCGACAAGCCAATCAACGACAATTTTTTCCAAACAAACAGTTTTCGTAAAAATTTCACAGATCGTCAAGGATAAACACATCAAATCCAAAAACGACTAAGGAAAAGATAAATATAACCATAAGCAAAATCAATAGTCAGGTGGATAAAGCCGTCCAAGCACCGGTTACACAAGAAGTTTGAGAAACAGATAAAATCATCCAAATCTGAAGTACAAAAACATATGAGACAGAAGATAGGGGAAAGAGGAGAGAATCAAGCTGCGGACTGCGTTTCACGCTCGGCAAGGAGGTTCGAGAGGGCTGGCGTACCCGCATTCGATCCGGTCGGATCTACGACACCCAAGTTGGCCGCTGTCTCTTCGAGCAGCTCGTGCGCTTGACCTTGGCGTTAAACAAGGCATCCTTGGCCTCGATACGCCTTTTGAGCAACGCCACCTCGGCGCTTTTGGCTTTCCTAGCTTCCTCGAGACGAATGACCGAGGCAGAAACCTTGTCGACATCGGCACGAAGAACTATCTTCTCCTCTTCTAGCCTCGACACCCTGGTCATCGCTTCGTCCAGCTTCCCCTTCACCGCCGCGGTCTCGTTCCGAGCCTCGTCCAGGCAACGTTCGACCTTGGACAGGTCTGCCTCGTATTCAGCCATCAGCTCGTTGATGGCCACTACAAACTGCAAAGAATAATACGCGTTAAACACTTAGTAAGAATTTGATAAAATAAGGAGAGTAAAACAGAACATACCTTGGTACCGCGCTGTGCCATCGCGCCATACGACCTCGGTCGCCTCAGCTTCTCGGGAGAAGGAAGACGCGTGTTAGCATTGTTAACACGTGCAAACATCACTGCCGAGGCGTCAGGGTCGTCGACGACCAGTTTGCGTGCAGCGGGATCACCGGGAGCCTGCTTGCGCTTTTTCTTGGACGGCTCGTCCTTCTGGACAGCCACGCCCTTCCCTTTATCAGTGGCCGAACGCTTTCGGCCAGAGTCATGCTTCTGTACAACCGAAGTCGGGGGCCTCGATGACTTCGGAAGAGCCAGAATAGCCGAGTTCGTAGGAGTTTTGCAGCGCGCCGTAGAGTCATCTTTGGACGCCTCGGGAATAATTTCGCCCGGTTCCACCTCTGGCGCTGCCCCTTCTCGGTCGCCTCGGCAACGTTTGCCTTCACGGCTCGGACCGTGCCTTCACCTTCACGGCTCGGCGGATCGGCCTGAGGGACAGCCTCGGTCTCCGTTTGAGCCGCCTCAGCGGCTCGTCTCGCAGCTTCTTCTTCTTTGCGCCTTATCTTATCTCTAAGAGTAATGATCACCATTTTCTCTCTGTGTCTAATGAAGAATTTGAAGACGAAGAGCTAACAGGAACTCCGGCAAGAATGGCTCGTGCTCTTTCCACTCTCTCGAATGTAAAATGCTTCCTCCAATTAACTCTCCGAGCCGCAAGAGAATCTCAGACAACAAAGAGGTCGTTGGAAATTGGGGGAAGAATGTTCCGAACTGCAAAAACAACACAAAAAAAAAATTTCAGTAAGGGAAGATTATACGATAACGGTTCCAAACCGAGGCAAAGCTTCAGATCGGCTACCAAGTGGTCCCCAAGCGGTCTTGGTTTTTTGAACGTAATCCTCGCCGACAGACGTCTCGTTCACCAAGACATAGAAGAAGCGCTCAGTCCAAAACTGATCCTTGCTTGGAAAACCACCTATGATCCGGCGGTTGGACTTGTTGGAGATGTAAAATCTGTCTCCCTTCGGAGCTTTTCTGATCTCCAACAAGTTCAGCAGGTGATTCAGTTCGATGTCGAGCCCGCATTCAAAACTTTGAACCAGAATACCGATCATGTGCCGCAGACCCCTCGGCATGATCTGCCCGATTGAGATCCCATGTTTCCAGAGGTACTCAAGGATAACTCCGGGGATCGGGAACCCGAGGAAACAAAGCTCAAAGAATGCCTCGTACAGAGTAAAGTGATTCTCAGGAGGTTTGTCGGCTCGGTCATTCTTCTCTGGAAGTTCGAATTCTACCGCCTCGGATATCCCGAAGCGACATCTCAACGCCTCGAGTGAGTCAGGGGAGGAGAGCGTAGAACCGGGCGGGTCAGGTTTTTGTCTTTCCACTCGTTTCCCTCGCCCAGATGAAGAAGCACCTCGGGACGCCATGAGACGTTCTAATTCACGTTTCACCTCGAACAGATCAAAGGGAAACGCTTCCTCCTCGGTTTTCACTGCGGCATGATTAACATCTTCGTCGAGAGCGGGACCCTGAGGGCGGCTCGTCGAAACCGACGACTCGTCATCTGGAGAGCGAGCGCCTGAGGGACTTGAACGATTCGACGCCTCGCCACTTTCGGACGCACGGTTGGAAGGGCTCGGCGAGATAGACGCCTCAGAGGATGCTGTTACATCTCTCACCTCGGCATCTACACGGCTCGGCTCGTTGTTAAAAAGTGAATCTAGTGAATCGTTGGAATGGTTCGACATGATTTACAACTGGTATGGAAAAAACAATGCTACGCGGCCAACTTTCGTCGGGAAAAGATCTTAGGCGGTGGAGACCTCGGAACCCTAGCCGGAAAATAAATAAACTAGAGAGAGAAAGAAGAGAGAAGGGAGAGCTACCTTTTAGTGAAAACGAGTGGATCTGAAGATTATGAGAAGGAAGGAAGGAGCTCACTTATTTATAGGTCAACCGAAGCGCGTGAAATCCACATAGACCTCGGGATGACGCAAAGGTGTTCAAAAAGGGCGTGTGAAGTCCGCGGCGAATACGTAACTTCTTAGCGCGTCTGTCAAACACGCTAACACTGAGGATACTAATAGCCGCTCTGTCCAGGTAAACCCAGCCCACGACACAGCTATGGTTACCTGAGAATATCTCACTAAGCTGTGTGAACCGAGCCGTGCTTTGTTTTTACGGCTCGACAATTTTATAACAACGCCTCGTCGTTATCGCTGATGCGAAACGGCTCGGCAACCCTCTTGAAACGTATAAACGCCTCGTCGTTACCTTGAAACACGGCTCGGCATTACTGATGTAAAACGCCTCGTCGTTACCTTGAAACACGGCTCGGCATTACTGACGTAAAACGCCTCGCCGTTATCATTAACACGAAACGGCTCGGTAACTATCTCTGAAAAACGCCTCGTCGTTAACTTGAATCACGGCTCGGCATTATCAACATAAACGCCTCGTCGTTTATTCGGCTCGGCATTACTAAACAAAATTGCCTCGTCCTTAACATGGCTCGGCATTATCAAGCAGAATCGCCTCATCGTTGCCACGAACCACGACTCGGTGATGAACAAGAACGCCCCGTCGGCTCAGCACCCTTTGAAAACGCCTCGGCATCTTTAGGAAATGCTTGACACTTTTGTTCCCATAACGCATCACCCGGGATCGTTTCGTGATAGCTTGACTCGATGGTTTATCCCATGGCCAGGAATGATGAACCTCGTCACTCTCGTCTCCGAAATTAACGAGCTGGGGGGCTAACTGTTGGGGTAGTCTCACCCCAAGCGGACAAAACCATCTTCATAACGACTAAGTGTTCGGGAGAGCCGAGCTATAGCGAAGAAGTACGATAGTAGGCCGAATCCATGAAAGAAAGGAGAGTTTGGGCCGAGCCGTCCCATGACTTTGGGTGTAGCTTGGGCCGAGCCGTGAGAGGAAGAGTAAGTGGGCCGAGCCGCAGACAACAAAAAGTGAGCCGAACCGTGAGGAGGAAGTAAGTTTGGACCAAGCCGCATGAAGAATATTCAAATGGGCCGCGCCGTGTATAAGAGAAGATGGGCCGAGCTCTGCACAAGGCAAAGTGGGCCGAACCGAAGCCTTGAAGGACGAAAGCCCATAAAAACCCTAAGCGATGCCTTGAGGTGGTGGCCGCACAAAGTGATAAGGAAATATTCCTAAAATCTCTTCCGAGATTCTCGGCTAGGCGGTTTAAGGAGTTAGTATAAATAGGAGACTTACATGATTCATTATGTAACTTTTGACGACTCGAGAGCAATACAACTTAAACACTTTCACAGCAATAAAAACTCTCTTTTGATCTTACTGTTCTTGCGATTACCCTAGAAATTTCGGATCCCTTAGTTTTTTTCCTTACAAATTTTTGGTTGTGCGGGTTTTGGCTCACACAGAGATCATAAAGTGAGTGGCCAGGAGATGGAGAGATCACCTTCTCTATGTTCTATACCTAAGATCGGTGATCCGGAAGGGTCGGGATGTTAGGAAAGGTGATCCGCACAGGAACCAGGAGAGCGGAATCGTTCAAGCAATTCCAGTAGCCTGGTCCCGGTATCGAGGGATCCGGGCCAGGTATGAGTAAATCCATAAGCGGAAAACACTATTCAAATTTTCTTCCATTCGAAAATAGGAATATGTCTCAATCTGATTTGAACGTCCATACCCTTACAAACCCACGAGATTGACATTTAATGCATCTTGCTTACACTTGTCAGGCGACAGTGACTTTTCGTAGGAGCTGATAACACCGTATTTGTACCCATTTTCATTAGTGTTTTCTTATGGTATTTCAAATGTTTTAACTAATTTCAAGTTAGTTTATCATTTTTTTCCCATATTTATAGTTTCAAAACTCTTTTCAGGTTACTTAGGAAAAAACAATGCAAATTAGACAAAAATCTACTTTTGACCAATTTTGGACCGTCAGAACTTTCACATCCGATGAAGACCTTGTCACCGTCCGATCAAGTTCAAATTTGGATAAAACTAGAGTAGACAACCAGCGTTCTAATACAATTGGATTGGACGCAATCCAACGGTTGGCTCATAAGTTACCCCTTATTTATTGAAGACATGTTCTGAAGTCTCGCGAAAGAAGCAAGAGAAAAAATGAAGTTTGGACATCATAAGCCAACCACCGCGATCCAGGAGCTCGTGACCGTGATGAACACTATCCTGGCCGCTCCTCAGAGCCCTCCACCCGCGGTGAACCCAAATTTATCAGCCTTGGAGAGCCTATTCTGTGACAAGTCCATTTTCGACCCAATGACCCGTTTTCAAACTCAACTTATTCTCTCTCCAAAGAAAGCCCTAAGAACGACTAGAAAGACTTAGAGACCTATAAATATGTATATTAGAAGATCTAGTTCGTGTGTGCTTTTTTCTCCTTGTTAGGGAGGCACCCAACTTTTATTTCTTAGGTTTAGATTAGGGAGATAAAGATTTTTCTCTTGAACCTTTGTTAGATTAGGTTTCCTAAAATCTATGTCATCTTTAATTTAAATTTCAAATTATTGGAAATTTAATTAAATTTAATTACAAAAATCTGCATTTAATTTAATTTAAATTTAAAAATTTCAAAAAAATTATGATTAAATTTTATTACAAAAATTTTGATAATAATTTTAGTACTTTAGAATTTCTTAAATACAGATTAGATATAATTTAAAATTTTAAATTTAAATAATATTTTCATAAAATGCATAGTAAATAAATATTTTATCATATTTTATCATAATCAATCGGTTTAAAATATTAAATATTTTAGATTAATAAATATTTATATTATACAATAATATGATCGAGCTGATTAGAATAATATATATATATATGTATATATATACTTAAGGTCCATGAGTTAATTTATTAAAACATATAAGATATTAAGATGATTTGAGACAATTAAACTAACAGGTTAGCCAGTTTATATATGTATATATATATATTTTTTTTAATAGCAAAAATAGTAAATAAATATTTTATTATATTTTTTCATAATCAATTGGTCCAAATATTCAATATTAGTAAATATTTATAGGGTTATACATTTATAATTATAGTCTTATACGGATTAGTTTGTCAAAACATGTAAGATATTAAAAATGATTTAAGAAAACTAAACGGATGGGTTAGCAAATTCATAGATATATAGATTGTTTATGTGTTAATCTAAATTCATATAATAGCAAATTTCTAATTAACAATAGATCAATGTATACTTAATTAACGCATACTCTTATTTTACTAATATATAAATTTTACTGTTTAAAATTATAACATGATAACAATTTTTTTATTTAAAAAAACTAAATAACAAAAACAAATTATATCTAAACAAAAAATAAATACAACTTATATTAGGATTAAAAAAAGAAAAAATTCTGTGCGGACGCACGGGGTTAAAATCTAGTATATTTTTATAATAACAGTCACTTTTGATTAATAAAATAATCGGATTAAAATTATGTTTTTATGATCATGATGGTCATAATAATACTAATAAATAAATAAAAATTATATCTAAACACAATATATCACTTATTAAAAAATTATATTTATAAAGAAAACATAAATTAGATTACAAATTTTGATTAAACAAAAATTCCCGTGCGGATGAACGAGGTAAAATCTAGTATATTAATAAATTGTAGAACTATTAAAGGAAATTAAACCGTGTTTTGAGGGTAAAATTATCTGAAAAAATAAGGGTGTATCATGGGGTATAATTAAACTCAAAGGGTGTTATACAATAAAGAAAATGTGAAAAATGTGAAATTTAATTTGTGTTATCACTTTATAATATAGCAATGGAATTATGAATGTATAGAAAAATGGCATGGATTTGATGATATATAACATTCAAAATTTCAAAAATTGAATGTATGTCTCATATGTTGAGGAATATGTGAATGGATAGGAAAGTTGGAATAAATGTGATAAGAAAAAGTTTAATGATTGGTTCAACACATTTAAGGAAAAAGTAAATGTGCAGGCAGAGAAAGACATAAAGATGTACTACATACATAAATGTATATCATACTGTTGTAGTTGGAAATACAACGGTTAAGATATGTATATAGTAAAATAGAGAGGCTTAGGGTCAATTTTCGAGAGGAGAAAAATCAGAGGACTAATCGAGCAATTAAGGATAAGTTTGTTGCTTGACCAGAACAAGCAAAGAACGAGACAGTTTTGGAGAGCATGGAAACAGAGTAAACTGATTTCAGTACTACGCTCTTCGAGAGAATTAAAAAAAAAAAAGAACAGAAAGTAGGCAATTGTTCATGCTCAGAGCTAGGTTGTTGTGTAAGAGTGGGGTGTGAACAGAGTTGTCAGAATGCGGATCCTTTGTTCCTCTGCCCTTTTCCTTGCTTTATACTCCCACATCATATTTACATCTCCGTCCACTCTACCAGATTCGCCATAAATGGACACTAAGGTCGAGGCTCTAGCCGTTACAATTTAGCCACTTAACTCACCGATTTGAATGAGCTGTTGGTCTTGGCGGAATTGACTAATGATTCTGCCTTTAATCCCATTTGACTGTTTATATCGGTGGTTTTCAGGCTCGGTCCAATTTGCCTTTCTCCCCTTAGTTGACCTCCTTTGACTTTCTGGCCTTGTGGAGTCTTTTTACCGATATGTAGTTGAGCTTAATTTACTGAGCCAGGTTTTTATCCCCCACAATTAGCTCTCCAATACCTTAAAGGGATGCAAAATGACTTCGTTTGAGGAA